ATTTCATTTTCCTTTTAAATGTAGATCCTGTCCAATATTGTTAAAGCCTCTTTGTAGGAAGATGCATTTGCAAAATAATCATAAACTTGAGCTGAGACATATTTGGTGAGATAGTGTACCTTGCTAGAACTTTTGTCGCAGTACAAGCTAAAGAAGTTCATGAAAGTTACTCTCCAGTGACAATATTCCACTTTGGCATCAGATATGTTGGAGTCAATAATAAGTTTCTTTGGACAGAGTGAATTAGCCATTTTCAAAATGGTTAACAACAAGAGTATATTAAATTGTATTAGAATTGTTGAAGACAATATGTATTTACTTATTCATAAGCTTTAATAAACTCTGCATATAAGCAGAGTTATCCTGAATATATATGTTCAGAACATATCCATTAATGGGGGAGATGGATCATGCCACAATAACAATAAAATAAATATAAATTCATTGGGTAGTTGAACAGATATAACTCTCAATTCTACTGTGATATCACTGCCTGTCAGCTCAGTGTTGGGATCTGTATTGGTAATGGTGATAATAGCCATTTCCTTACAAGGAAATATTCAGTATTCATTTACTGAGCAGCCAGTACTGTTTTTTATTTAAATCTATAAAATGTTTCTTGCAAAATACTTTTTTATGAAATCATGTTTCTCAAGTCCAGTAGCTGTTATTGCTCTTTCCAGTATTTATTGGGGTTTCCTTCTGAACCTTCCATTTGAAGTGGTGCTGAATGTTAACATCTTGATTATGTCATTAGTTGAGTGATGTTATTAGAGTTCAAGTTAAGATATGTTTTCGAATCAAGTTGTTTTGAATGACATATAGTGGAAGATAAATGTTGTGGTTCAAGAAATCAGGAGTGTTCTGTTTCAGTTAAAAGTATGTTCGTGGGATGCCAAGAGTCTTTCCTACTTCATAACATTTGACAACTAAAAAAAAAAACACTGGTTGTATATATAACAAAATCCATCTTAACTTCTTTAGAGTCTTATCACCAACAAAATGCACAACAGTCTCTGTTACATATTTCATCAGAAATGGCAGCTATAGTTAATGTGTGCATTTTGTTACTCTTCTCTTTATTATAAGAGATGTTAAGATTGTATCTATTAATCCTCTGCATTTTCCTTATTAGCTTTCTTGTTATTCTTTTTTTATCTTTGACTGCAACTGTTGTTCTCGCCTTCATACATTTCTTCTAAGATAATCTTTAAAATTATCAGTTTTACTTTATATAAAACTTGACAGCAAATTGGCATCACTTCTGATTGATTAAGTTTCCATTTATGAGTTCACCAGTGTTATTGGCATCATTGGAACTCTCCTTGCAAACAGGGAATTGAGATGACCATAATTTGGTAAAGCACTCTGTCCATTTACCAGAAGAGATTGATGGGAAAAAAGACAGTCACTTTCCCCTTTTGAGAGATTTATAGACATGATGGACAATAAATATGGGTCCCCAAAACTCAATGAATTTGATTGGAGCAATGAAAAAAAATGTGAATGACATGAAGTGCGGAAAGAATACAAGGTATGCTTGTATTTGATGATTGGCTCTCAAGAACTGATGTAATTGCTTTATTCATATAAACTTTGCTTTAGATGCACACACACACACACACACACACACGTGTGTGTGCATATATATATATATATATATATATATATATATATATAGCAACTCTAACTTAATCTTATGAAGCTTTATTTAACTCATTCCACTTTAGTGTTGACAAACGTTTATTTATTGTGACAGATGGTTATAAGTGAGAGGGGGAGATGTGATGTGCTTATTTGATTAAAACTACATAGTTATACAGATTTATATACAAGAGTGGATCAATAAGTCCATACCCTAATATATAGATATTAGCTGATGTTGGAGCTGAAATTTTCACTGTATTATGTTCTATCAATGTGATTCACCATGGAATTAAACACCTTGACAATAAAAGAGATTATGTTGATCAAAACCAGAATTGAATTGAGATGTGATGTAATGTTCCTCTTCATTGAGTTGTCACTACCTTTGTTAGTCACCAGCAGTAGTAATTTTAAAAGATACTGTAGCTGACTGCAGTTTTCACAGGCCACTTTTATTTTTTTAGAATTCACATATTCCTGGTATATCCTGGCTACTATTACTCAAGAAAAACTTAGAAATAAGTGGCACTTTAAAAGAAATTCAAATCTTGAACAGGAATTTTGTTCTTTCTAAGAGAGAAGTGACAAAATTTGAAGCCATATATCTCTGTCTTCCATCAGCATGGCTGATGCTAACCTCCTAGGAAATGATTCATTGCATGTTCTCAGTTGACATGAAGTGGAAAGACTATATTGAATTCATTCCTAGGTCAGCTGCTAAAAAAGTTGGTTCATTGTGTTGGGCAAGACAATTTTTCTTTCCAGTGTCTCTCTTATATATCTATGAGTCTGTCATTCATCCATGCTTAGAATATTGCTGCCAAATATTTCCTGGTGTCCCTGCTATTAACCTTGAGCTCCTTGATAACATCTAAAGAAGAATTAGTAAATATTTTTCATCTTGATCTTGTGACTCACATTTCCAGCACTATAAGTTGGCCTCTTTGTGCCTTTTCTATAAATACTTTCATGGTAATTGTTCAGATGAGCTATGGTATCTAGATTTTTTGGATTCAAGTATTGGACTGGCATTGAGATCTTATCAATTTAGAGTTGAGTTGGCTAGAAGTAACTGTAAATTCGATGCTACCAGTTTCTTTTCTTGCACTTATCACTTGTAGAACTCCCTTCCAGCTCCATGCTTTCCAGCCAATTTTAATTTGTAAAAATTTAAATGCAATGTCAATCACTATTTACTGTCCTCCTGATTACCTTTTCCTCTTCCCACTCATTATTAATGCTTCTGTCCCAAATGCTTCTTTCCCTAATTCTTCCACACCCTGTAACTTTGTGATTTAGTGGCTTTACTACCTTACATAGTGTCATGGGTCCTTACTTATAATTACAGAATGAACTCTTCCTAACACTATGTATACTACGCCTCTCAAGGGAGAGGGTCGAATCGAGTTGAGCCGATAGTAGTTCAATCCAAACCAGACTGACAGTCATACTAACACCTTCCACATCTTGTATTATTATTTCATGTAATATACCTTCGTTATTTCTATTCTTGGGCTTGTGTTGTTCTTCCTTGGTCTTAACCTGGACCATAACACATAGAATGATACTGATTAAAAAAAAAAGAAAAAAAAGGTAGTCTTTCTATATTAATCTATTTTTATTATCTTCAAATTGAGTAAATTTGTATACCAGTGGCTGTGATATGCCAAAATTCATCTCCTCCATATTGTGATAATTGATCTGGGCATACCTTGATCCTAGTCAAATTGTCACCCTGCCTCATTTGTAAAAGGCTCAGTGATTTGTTTCTCTCCTTCTGAGTGAGGTGGGCTGAATTAATTCAAATCCATATGGATGTCAAACTGTCTACTTATCAAATAATAACCAAATCATGCAAGCTCATTTATCTACTTTATCTTTATTGTTAAACTTGTTCAACTTCTCTTTTTCAATCCTGACTGACAAAAGGTTTTCTTAAACATGATATTAATGTCTTGCCACTTTAGCGTATCTCTTTCTAACATTATCTACACAAGTACTTGGCTTTTACAAGTGGGAAGATGTCTTTATCAACAGACTCTTATAATAATTGGGTATTAATTGACCACTGAAAATACCTGAGTTCTTTCTAAAAATTCAAAGTTAAAACAGCTTTTTAGAAAGTATCAGTTTCTTGTCTCTCTTCTATATCTGTAGAAGAGTGGTTTACTCAACTCAGTGGTGAGACCTTGTATTTATGGTTTCTTTCAGCTGTCAGGTTACAAGTTGATTTGCATATGTGCATAGTAACAGGATCATGGGAATGATTTTGATGACTTCATTACCCACTCATACACTGCCAGGCTCAGTTGAATTCATAGCTCCTACAGATAGTTAAGGTAGAATGTAAGGTAGTATAAAAATAAACAAAATTCCTTTTCTGACTGTTGGTCAAAACCCAATCTAGCTTGAACCAAGTGGTCTAATGAAATCAGCATTTTTTTTAACGTTGAATTGGGATAAATACTCATTGTTTCACTTAATCATGCTGCAGAGTACCCAGTAAAAAAGAGGTAAATTTATTATCACTATTTTATCTTTCAGAAATATAATATTATAATATCATTGAATATTCATGACTTTGAATAATCATTCAACTCTTGCATAATTACTTAACTCTGGTTCTTTTATGATTGAATAATTGCTGTTTGATCTTGGAACTCATCATTTAAAGGTTATTTGCAGACAACTTTTTTCTTTCGTTTTCTGCCCTTCTTGTATGGCTAAACAACTCATTGAATTTTCAGCGTCAAGTTATCATATTTTTAAAGAATTTTCAATGTGGGAATTCATGAATTCTGACTGAGTTTTTCAATCGCATTTGTTATCACCAGTTTTCAACATTTGTCTCATGTCTTTCTGAATTTAACAATTTTACTGGGCACCCTGTAGTTAAAACAATCTTAAGTACTGAGTTCAAACCCAGACAGTTCTAAGTACTAATTCATTTTATTGTAATTAAATGCCTTTCACAATCAATTCTTTTGATCTTATCCTTTACTATATGCATAATTCATAATTCATGCCAATACACCTTCCCATAGTATGATTGTCATTCATCATAATATGGACAGCCTTTGAGTTGGTTGGTTATTTTTGTTTAATGGCATATCATCCCCTGTGGATTATTTATTGTGAAAATCTAAATATTTTGCATTTTGTCAGATAATAATGGTTTTAATAGTACAAGTCTTACTAATTAACCCATAGCTGGAGACAGAAGAGGTGGATGCATAGCTTCCTCAAGGGTATTTTGCCCATAAGTGAATATAATGAACTCAATGGAAATTAGAACCCAGCTCTCCAATTAACAATTTCAAGCCATTATCCATTACACCACACACACACCCATGCTTACAGTACCTGGTATTCCCAAACAGTCACCCATATAGGTACTGACCATGCTTGACATTGCTTAACTTCAGTGATTGTATGAGAACTGGGTTTTTTCACTGTGATGTGGCTGTAAGCTAATCTCTTTTGGGAATTTAATATGACACCAGATATTATCATAAATGAAAAAAGTTAAGCCTGTTATGATTATCAATTAAGAATTGGCCTCTTTTCCTATTCTACTGAGAGGAAAAGTCAAGTAATTTTCAATGCTTATCAATAAGAAATCCCATTCTTTTCTCATATTGAATGTTTTCAACTGGGATGGATAGGAAATGTCAAGTCTTTTACAACAATTACCAATAAATAATTACTCTCATTGCCTTTAAATTGTATAGAGAATAGATTTCATGTCTTTATCAACAGTTATCAGTTAATCAAAGTTTCTCACTTCGATCATCCTCATATTGGGGGAGTGAGGAAAAATTGTTAGCAATTATCAATTCATAATTCTAATTCTTCCATTTGCAGCACACCATTTCTTTATTTATTTGGAATGACTTTTATCCTGATTTCTAATTTTCCTTAATGCCTTCTTTTTGACTTTATATCCAAGTCATCTATGTATTCATCTTAGGTTAAATTTCAAATGATTTTATTTCAAAAAAGAAATTACAAATCCTAACATTTGTCTTTAAAATGACAATCTTTTAATTCATACAAGCAACTGAGCCTAGATGTTATAATAACAGCAAGAGAAAAAAGCAGAAAATGAAAGAAAAAAAGATGTAGGGAATATTATTTATGTAGTAATAAAAATCTATTTTAGTCTTTCATTTCTTTTTAGATCCATAGCTTAATTTGAAGATTTATAAAAATTTATGATTATGATCATCTACTTGATAACAAATCAGCCACAAGACATAGAAATAACAAATCAATTTTTATTTACATTTTATTTTCAATTGTCATCCTCTCAAATTATTAATATTTACTATTTTTTCTAAATAGCTATATATATATATATATATATATATATATATATATATGTATGTATGCATTAGCTCATAATGTAAGTCTGTGTTAATAAAACAGTGCTAACCTAAAATTTGTACTACTAATAAATATACATTTTTTCCTCTCTGTGTGATACAACAATTGTAGAATTAATATATTAATATTTATAACATACTATGAAGATAATAGAGGAGCCCATTTACTTATGAATATATATATATATGTGAGTTTGTCAAAAATAGATTAAATACAAAAAATAAAATGATCTAAAAAAACACTGATATTTTTTGTTTTTACGTTCTTTTTATAGATACAAATATTTAAGTAAATGGTCTGTTTCTAATAAACAGTATTAATGACATTTACCAGCCTGAATGTCCGGGAAATTTTCATAGAAAATATGCTTAATATTGGTATCTAAATAATTGTCATACTTTGTCCATTTTATAATATATATATATATATATATATATGCTCTGTTTATAGTAAACAGAATTAATGACATTTACCAGCCTGAATGAGAAATTTTTATAGAAAATATGCATCCTCCAACAGGAATTGAACCTATATCCTATATGCAACTGTCATATAGCCTGACATACCTTAACTGACTGGGCCACAGAGGAGCGTTTGGTTAGCAAGGTCGATTTTACTGTTTTTTAAACACAATTCTCTTTGATTTTCTCTCATACATTCATATATGCTCAAATCATATCCAAATGTATATATATATATATATATATATATATATATGTGTGTGTGTCTCCACAGGGTTCAAAATTGAAAATAACACTGACATCTTCTTTTAACAGATATATTAACCAAAATTACACAAAAATATCTTGAAATACTAAAGACCAAATTTATTCAATAAAATTACCATTGACCATGACCGCCAGATGTCTTCAAAATCTCTTGCAGCTCTTTTGCACAGTCTCCTTGTTAAAGTTGGTGAATGTTTCCATAATTCTTGCCTTCAGATCATCTTGGGTGTTACAAGGAGGTTTATTGGTCTCTTTCTCAACTGCACTGCACACATAATAATCAAAGGTTGCAGGAATTGTCTGACAGCCTTGACTTGTTTCTCCTGCTTGTGGGGCATGGTGCAGAGTACTGTTGTCCAACATAAGGTCTTCCAACAGACATTCTCTTGATCCAGGGCAGCACTACCTCCTCAAGGCACTTGATGTAGGTCTCCATATTGAGTCTGAGGCCCTCACCAACAAATTCAAGAGTTCTTTCTCATCATAATGATCAGAGTGAGTTTTTCATGCTGCCATACCTTTGTAATTACCGTTAGACTCATCCAACCCTTTCTAAATCCTCTGCAATGTCTTCAGATTGACACCAGACACTCTGATATGTTCATATCAAAGCTTCCAGTATGAATGTCAAGCAGTACAGCATGCCATTTCCAAATTTACCAGCAGAGTGAATTGTGTCATGCTGCTCTTTTTCTCACAGAAGGTGCCCAACTGACCCTACTATACTGTGCAGTAAACAAAATGAAAAACAAACACTGTATGTATGATATTACAATTTATATCTACATATTCATGTGTACACAAATACATGCATAGTACATGAATTTATATCTAATCATAATATCTCTTTCTCTCTCTCTCTCTCTCTCTCTCTATATATATATATATATATATATATATATATATAATTAGAGAAAAGGGTCTATGTGTGCATCTTATAATATGTAAAATAGATAGTTTAGTTAATAAAACAAGGACAGACAAAAGGGTACCAATATAATCAATACAATAAACATTTATTAAATATTTATTACACTACATTTTATGGACTATCCTCCTCATCTTTGTTGCCATATTTTTCACATTTCGGCCATTGTCTGCTCGAGCCTTCTTCAGGTTGTTGGAATGTCAAACTGAACCCTTTACTTTGCTCGCTGGGGTAGACTGTTCTCGTTCCATGTCAGTTATCTCCTGTTAATTCACCTCTCCAAGTTCTCCACTGCCTTAACCAGGTATTGAACTCACACTCTTTGGTCCTGTCACTGTATCTAACACATTTATCCACTGTCCCCTTTGAGGACATCTGTGTATGAATTTCTGGGACTTATAAACCTAATGTCTTCAGCAACCATTTTTACCAGAGCTCATATTGGAATTTTTATTGTTATTATTCCTTTTCTCTAGCAATCCTTATTACTGGTTCTGATATTGTATTCATTTCTATGTTTGGACGGCTCAGGAGATTTTTTTGGCCTAGAATATGTACTGATTCTTTAAGTTTATGAATTTTCCAATGATGTTCTTTGTCTATGATTTCAACCTGATCCCACAGAGGGCAGTGATCTCCCTTTTCTCTCCGTATGTAGTCAGCCACACCTGATTTTTCCACTTCCCCTCGTGTTACAGCTTTTAGAATATGATGTGATGAAAATACTAAAAATATGAGGAGGAAAAAATGGAATATATAATAATAAAATATTATTAAATGAAATGAAACAAAAAGAAAAAAGTGAAGGAAGAAAAAATGGATAAAATTTTAGAAATCTGGTGTTAACAAAAAAGTGGGTACAGAAAATAAAAAAATAAGGAAAAAGTTAAAGGAAAAGCATATAGATATTATAGATGCACATGCATATGTAAGTACACATAACAGTGTGTTATGTGCACTTATATACACAAGCCACCACACAAACATATGAATCTCAATACAAACTAACGAAAAAAGCCTATGTAAGGAGTGAGGAAGGTTAGTGGAGAAACATATTAATCTTGTACATGAAGGATGCAGACGTGTCCAAAAATTCCAAACTTAAGACCTTTCTCTCTGTACTTCATTTCTTTGTATAGTTAATAATTAATATTTAATAAATGTTTATTATACTGATTATATTGCTATCCTTTAATTTGTCCTTGTCTTATTAACTAACCTATGTATTTTACATTATAGATATATCTTAATGCAATTCATACACATGCTACATATCAAGTTATTCAATACATAATATGTGAAGAACAAAATATATATTTATGATTAGTGTGTAGATGTGTGTGTTTGTATCTCTCTCTCTCTCTCTCTCTCTATATATATATATATATATATATATATATATATATATATATATATATGGAGGCATGGTGGAGTAATGGATATCGGCTTGGATTGAGGAATCGGAGAGCCGTTCGAATTTGTCGAATCCATTACATTCACTTACATGCTAATACCCTTGGGAAAGGTATGAATCCTCTTCTTCTCCCTCCAGCTATGGGTAAATATCAGGACAGACTGGGTTCTATAGCCTTGGATGGCAACTGGTCTAGGAGAAGGACAACACTGAATTCAAAACCTGCGAAGCGTCATTTGGGGACCTTGTGGCACATAGTGCACCAGGTCTCTATTCGGCCCTTCAAAAAGTGTGGATGGTCCTGCACGAAACCTTCACCACTATAATCAATTCTCATGTGCTGTTATTGGGCTGTCGGTTTCCTGGGAACTGATCTGCTTGACCCTCATATGTCGGATTTGACGGAAGAGTAGAGATATTATATATATATATATATACACACATTCACACACATGCATAAATTTGATATTTAAACTGGCAATTATAATTCTCCCTTATGTAGCAGATAGTATTCATTTATTTATTGTGGCCTTGGGTTTTATTAGCTTTAGGTATATTTTTCTGAGTAACAGTACAAATCTGAATATTATTAAGTTAATAATTGAAAAACTTATTGTGTAAATTTTAATTTTTACTTTACTAAAACATGACATTCTTTTAAATTTCAGTTCTATACAAGGCAGCTGCTGCATTAATTGCAAAATTGCCCCAGCAAAAACTTTGTGCCATGAAGACATAATGCAAGATGTTTCCTGTTTGGGAAATTCTCACTGTGAATATCCTTTGCTTCTTTATACAACTATCAAGCTGTTATATATCATTAAAAAGTTTTGTTCCTTCTATTGATGTTATTGTCAACATTACATATAAAATGTTTAATGCATAGGTGAATATCAGAGTTTTGAACCAGCTTTTATGCTAGAACTAATCTGGTAAATATTTAGCAAGGCTTACCGAAAAAGAGAAAGCCTCTTTCAACTGAATGTAAGTAAACAGCAATTTTATTATGAGA